TTTTTTTTTTCCTTGTTTTGGCTTTTCCAGGTAGCTCTGTTATTTTGGAATTTGTGGGGCTATAGGGAAGAGGATCTGAATCTTCCCAGACCAGTGACCCTTGCCTGTGTTTCTGAGGGCTCTGTACTTTGTCTCCTTTCCCCTGCTGTCCCCTGCCCTATGCTCTGGGCTGTAGCCAGGTCTGTATCGAGCACTGCAGCGTGGGCAGCTCAGAGTGCTGAGCTCAGTGTATGCCACACACCCAGGGGCTGAAGAAGCACAAAACCTCTCAGCCAGCATCAGCTCCCACTGCTGTCTGTGTCTGTTAAGGTCCCTGTTAGTTTCCCTGCACTACTGAACGTAATGGCTCCAAGTTAGCTGCAGGCAATGCACTGCTGCTGCTCTGCAGCCTGAGTAATTGGGGGTCGGGGGTAGCACTGCAAAGTAACAAGGTGGATTGTGACCCCCCTCCCCAGTCCCGAAATGCAGCAAACCAGGATTTGGGCACAGATGGAGGGTAGGGGTGAGGTAGGTGCCTTCCAGAACAGAGGGAGTTGCTGTGCAAAATCCTGCTCCTTGCACCAGAGTCTGACTTTCTACATGATCTGATAACAATCAGAGAAGGGGGAATGGCTTTAAATTAAAAGAGAGGACACTTTAGATTAGGTATTAAGGGAGAACTCTTCACTCAGAGGACAGGGAGGCTCTGGCACTGCTGCCCACAGCTGTGGGTGCTCCATCCCTAGAGGTGCCCAAGGCCATGGATGGGATCTGGGCAGCCTGAGCTGGTGGGGGGCATCCAAGTAACAGCAGGAATGGGGCCGGGGGATTGTAAGATCCCCTCCTACCCAACCATTCTGTTATTCTATGATCCTCTGACCTGCATTGTCAGGGCATAGCAGTAGCTGGTGTCACCTTGAGTTCTGCTGCTGCCAGGAGCTCGTACCTCACCTTTCAGTGAACATTAGAGCACTCTGGCCTACATACACTGTCACGCCTTTGGAAACAGACCTGGAAATGTCACCAATGAGTTTCCAGCCCAGTTATCAGGACGGCTAGAATGCTCTCCCTGTGCTGCACTGCATGAGTGCTGCCCAGCCACAGCAACCCTGCAACCCCAAAAGCACATTCCCCATCTGCTGCACCCCTCAGCAGGAC